CAAGAGAACAAGAGCTAGGAGATTCCTCTTCATGGCAGAGTGGTGTGGCTGTTGTAGGGGCCTTGTATTCCTGGGTGGCTTTCCCTGGCTATTTCGGTTCCTTGTGTCTTGTGTGGCCGGCCATGCTGTATGCTGCCAAAGGTCTCGGGCACAGAGAACGCTAAAGGGTGTCATGATGTTAACTGTCAGAAAGGCAAGAGTAATAACTGTGTCCTTGATGGGACCTTTGGTGCCCTCTCCTACTCACACAGATGTTCTTGTGTCAGGAACCATGGGATCAGAAGGCAACAGAATCCGACAGAAGAAGTCCTGGATTCAGAGTCTAAAGACCTTCTTAGGTTTCAATACCAGGTCAATTCCTTCCTGTGTGACCCTGGCAAAGTCCTTAACCTTTTCTGGGCCTTATTCTCCTCATCTATTGAAAGAGGGATTGGAATAGATTTCTCCTGAGGCCTCTTCTAGCTCTTAAATCTATTAGGCTAAATTGGGGCATGATAAACTTAACCTATGTTAGCCTTACTTTTACACACATATCCGGTGACTCTAACCCTTATTTATGGGCAGTGACCCTTAGAGTTGGAGGTGTGGTACAATGACAACCAAGAAAGGAAAACATAATCAGCAATGAAAATGTATATTGATATTGAGGGTGAGGGTGGGGAGAGAATGGGAGGAAAACTTTGTGGGTCCAAAGACTTAACTTGTATTATTATTATCATATTCAAAATATGGTGCTTCTAATACCTGCCACATCGATAGATACCATGTCTACCAATAGTAAATTATTATAATATGTTTGACAAATAGAACTTGACTTTGAATGCAAATTTATATTATAGCTTGAGAGCTAGAAGGGAACCTAGAAGTCATCCAATACAAACCGTTGCTTTTACTAGTGAAGAAACTGAGACCCAGAGGGACTCAATTACTCATCTAATGTACATGGTAAATAAGCTCTTGGTCCCCTGCTCTTTTTCACCATATTATACTTAGTTTTTAGTCCATCTAGATCAAAGAAGACTTAAAGCAGGATTGACATTTAATCCTGTTAGAAGTGGAGGAGAAAGGGGGTAGGAGAGGTAGAAGACAAGAGGATAAAATGGAAGGAGGATTGGTCTTGGAGTCAGAAGACCTAGGTTGCAGCTCACTGGAAGGCCTTAGACAAATCATTTAACTTCTCCACACCTCAGTTTTCTTATATGAAAAATGTAAATAATACTTTCCCTACCTACCTCTGAAGTTTGTGAGGAAGATATTTTTAATAAATATGAAGGACTACATAACCACATGCTATCATTAGGTATAATAATCTTTCTGAAGTATGCTATGTAATACTCTGCAAGATAAAAGTATGAAAAGAATGTGACTAATTTTAAAATAAATGTGCCAGTACTCATACAACTGCGTAGGCATTGCTGCCTTCAAAATAGTCACCTCACAGGGCAGTACACTTTGATCCTGTTATTATTGTTTATACTATTTTGGGGCTCCTCCAAAACCTGGAAGTAGGTAGCAAATCTTCATTCTTTAAGAATGGACTCGAGTTTTGGAAATAGTCTCAAATCATTCAGAATAAACAAGTTGAGATGATCAAAGTGAACATATTTGTTTTAATTTTTTTATAATATAATGAAATATTTATTTTATTACTTCTCTTTGTTACCTTCTGAACTTCCACTTTCTTCTTCGTAGTTTAAAAATCCTTCACTTTTTCTTTTTTTCTGTTACATCAGTATCAATATCTGCCCACCGTCCTCCGCAATGCTCCCCCATGCCACAGGAAAATAAAAGCATTTTAACAAACATGTATAGTCAAGCAAAACAAATTCATATATTATAATAAAATAAAGTATAATAAAATAATTAGCCTGATTATATTGTTTCCTCTGGTTCTACCCAGGGGCAAGGCTAGGAGCAGTCACCAAGAAGGGCCCTCTGTGGCTTGGGTTTCATTGCCAGTGGGATGACCTGATCTGAGTAATGGTGACCTGGAAGGGTAGGGAGGGGCCAGAAACAATTAGGGAGTGGTTTGAGGTTAAGCAATAGTCAGTCAAGGGTCAGGGGCCCAAACAGTAGCTTGTACCATAATTACATTTTAGAAGTATGACAGCATCTGAATCCAAGGGAGCAAGCAAGCAAAATACTGCCCAAGGTTCTCCAAGAGTTCAAGGAGCTAGGGGACCAAACAGACACAATTCCAGTTTGATTTTGTGTGGAGTTATTGTGCTAATGTTCTTTTGACTGCCGCCACTGCTGTTGCAGTCCCACCTTGCTCTTCCCCCAAGCTTCCTAGGGACAACCCTCATAGGTTCTAGTATTTTCCTTAAAGGAAAATAGTTTGCATTACATAATGCCAGAAGACTTTTGTGTACTTTTGTCTGCATACTGGTATGGGGGAAAAACCATTGGATTGAGAGTCAGTACACTTCATTTTTTTGTTCTAGAAAATAGTAATAATAGGGACCCCAATCCAACTGGGAGTATGACAAGTGAACAAATATAGTCTGGTACCATTTACTCATTAATGGATTATAGTGACAAGTTTGTTGATAAATGAGGAAAGAATCTCATTTTGCTCTACATTCAGGAAAGGGAAATGTAATGATTTGTATAAATAATGTTGTTAAAATTGTAAAAAAAAAAACACTTGGGTTCTAGCCCCAGGTCTACAACTCAAACACGTTTGACCTCCAAAGTTACTTGACCTACCTAAGGCTGTAAATGTAAATTGTGATAATACTTAAAACATTTACCTTACAATGTTGTTTTGAGGCTAGTAATTTGTAAATAGTAAAGCACATATAAATTAAAATCAATTTCAGTACTATATAAATGGTTTACTATATAAACCACATTGAAAAAAATAATTCCTATATATATTATCTTATGTTCTAAACAGGTCTCAGTCAATGAGACAATTCCCATTTAGTGATTAAGGTTTAATAAAAAAAAAATGAGGCAGAGAGTGGCCACTTTACCTAGTCAAAAAAAAAAAATCAATCTGGGAGGAGAAAGTGAGACTCTGCACAGGCCTCCCTTACTTAAATCCGTCTCGCTGATGTCACAGTCCTCTTTGAGAGCGAGGGATAAACAACAACAACAACAACAACAAGGTTCTAAAACAGACACGGACATGTTTGTAAGTGTCAAGTCACAACCACATAAAAGTCTTTTCATTTCCTTGGAATTTGGAGATTTGCTTTTCTTCTTTCCTTATAAGATCTATGTAAGGAATGAGAACGGCATCTTTGTGAGTTTTAAAATAAACAATTTATTGAGAATTTCTGTGTTTATATCACTCATGTTTATTTTCTCTGTAAGTTTTTTCTTTATTATGAACATAAATAGTCACATTTCAATATACAAAGAATAGAAAAGGAAGTTGTGAAATCATGAGTTTCTATTACATGTAGCTTGGTTGTTGGTTTTTTTTTAAAATGCAATACAATATCAACACTGCCCTACTTCTCTTTGTTACCTTTTGAACTTCCACTTTCTTCTTTGTATTTTAAAAATCCTTCACTTTTTTTTTCTGTTACATCGGTATCAATACCTGCCTACTCCACAATATTCCCACACCCCACTGGAAAATACAAGTCTAGCAAAACAAATTCACACATTAACCATGTCAGACATTATATGTCTCATTCTGCACCTGTTATCCTATCTATCACTTATCTGCCAAGAGGCTGCAAGTATTCTTCAACATCAGTGTTCTGAAACCAGGATTGGTCATTGCATTGATGAGATTTCTGAAGTCTTTCATCATATATTTTTCTCAATATATCCCTTTCCCTCAACCTCCTAGAGAATCATCCATTCCTTATAAAAAAGAGAAACAGTTCAGCAAAACTAACCAACATAGAAAAAGTGTAACATTATATGCAGTGTTCCATACCAGTAATCTCTACCTCTGTAAGAAGTTAAGAAGATATAAAAGTACTTCCTTATAGGAAACTACTCAACAAAGAAAAACATTCAGCGTTAGTACCAGCATTTGGAAAAGGAAATCCTGTAATATTACAGGTTTTTTTATTATTCAAAATTTAGTACTCATCATATAGAAACAATTTCCATTTATGATTTTAAAAAATCCTCAAATAACTGAAGTGCACAGTGATAATGTCTATTCCAGGGGTAAGGAACCTTCACCTTTGAGGCCACATATGGTCCTCTAGGTCATGAAGTGTAGCCTTTTGACTGAATCCAAACTTCGCAGAACAAATCCCCTAAAGAAAAGAATTAGTTCTGTATCACTTGGATTCAGTCAAAAGGCCACACCCAAGGACCTAAAGGACCACATGGGGCCTCAAGGCTGCAGGTTCCCCACCGCTGGTCTGATCAGGAAATCAAACTTACATACCTTGTTTCTGGTCAAAAGATAAAAGTCCCTGTATATATAGACCTTCCCTGAGTGAGATTGACTATCCAATTTGGTGATCAGTTCAGAGTTGCCATATATCCATATCTGTAAATATAGTTTCTCTTACAATTGAAGTAAATGTGTGGGTGAGAATTGTATATTGTGTCATTAGACTGTGAGCTCCTTGAGGGCTCTTTTGTCTCTTTATGTATCCCCAGGCTTAGCACAGTGCCTGGCACACAGTAGGCTCTTAATAAATGTTTATTGATGGATTGATTTGAAACACCATGTAGTATCACAGGATTGTGATGGTAATTGTCTTACTTAAGAATTTAATGTTTAAATAGTGTTTAATAAATACTTGTTACTTATTGACTATTTAATGTCTGTGTTCCCAATTCTAGTCAAATATCATGTAGTTTAAATTTATTTTGTAATTTATAAGATCGTAGAGCTAGACCTTTAGATGATCTCTTAGATATAAATTAGGTCCCATCACTATTTACCAAGATTATGTCTCTTTTGGGATTTATGTTCTTAAGAATCCATTGTGTAAAATTAAATATAGACCTGCTACTCCCCCTAAATCATCGTGTTGTTATTTTTTTCTTTTCTTTTTCTTTTTTCACTTTGTTAGCAGAATGCAAGACGACAACATAGAAGCTTCCACTTCCATATCTCAGCTTCTAAGGGAAAGCTATTTAGCTGAAACCAGGCATCGGGGAAACATCGAGAGAAGTCGGGCAGAGTCTACCCCCAATCCTTTCCATTTTGGGAGTCTTGCTGGAGCTGCTGGAGGAGGAGGAGGAGGTCAAGATGACCTTCCAGATCTTTCTGCCTTCCTGAGTCAAGAAGAATTAGATGAAAGTGTCAATCTGGCAAGACTAGCCATCAATCAAGATTCTATGGATAGCAAAGCTGATGATTCCCAATCTAGAAAACATCTTTCTTCTGATCAGGTGAAAAATTCAACTAAATCAAATTCTGATCCTAACTTCTACCAGTATCACCCTGAGACTCAAGCCAACTCCAAAGAAAGCATTCAAGAGACAAAGAAGCCACAGTACAGTTCAGAAACCCAGTCCAAAAAGGTATTCCTAAACAAGGCTGCTGATTTCATTGAAGAGCTATCTTCTCTATTCAAAGCCCACAGCTCCAAAAGAATCAGACCCCGTACCTGCAAAAACCACAAAAGCAAGTTGGATTCTCAAAGTAAAGTCCCACAGGAAAACAGTGCCAGTTTTTCTGGTCTGTCTGAAAGACGGGAAAGATCTTCTATTCCCATCCCCATTCCTCAGGACACCCAAGATAATGAAGTGAATCATGCCCTTGAACAGCAGGAGGCTGAGAGACTTCAGGAAATTGAGCAAGTTACCAATGAAAAAACCAGTACCGATGTCACCCCGGATTCATCGCCTTCATCTTTATACTATGAAGAGCCTCTGGGACAACCACCACGGTTTACTCAGAAGCTACGGAGCAGAGAAGTTCCAGAAGGAACTAGAGTGCAGTTGGACTGTATAGTAGTAGGAATTCCACCACCTCAAGTAAGGTAAAAATATCCCACCATCTTAGCAATTCATTTCTAACAATTCCGATGTTCCTGTTGTGACTGAGTTTTGAGTAGTTGGGTAACCAAAATGGGTTATTTCTGTTGATAAAATAGTCACAACCTGAAGCCTGTAGCTATGAGAATGTACTTACTATCAGTATCCAAGCCAGTAATATTCTTTGAATTTTAGAAGAAAAGAAGATTATATTATTTGTGACTAATATTTTATTAGAATAAATATTGTAGCTAAGTTATAAGCCAACATAAAGGGATACTGTTACATGCTTTCAAATCTTACTTATTATGAATTACTTTTATAGTTAGTGAAATGCCAGTCAATCCTAATAAGATTAATTTGCAAAAAGGTTCCTTCATTCTTTTCAGCACCTACCTAGAGTATACTTAGTTGATTTTATTTCATTGCCACTGATAGCTTAAAGACCTACCTCCTTAACTGGTGGGTTAGCACCTAACATGCCAAATAGATGAGCAGGACTCAACTAATGGGCATTTTAAAGAATTGAAATAGTCATGGTTTCAGTTTATCTTATGTAGTATGCAGTATTATTTGTGTATATGTTTGTACCTGTGCATATATATATGTACATATTACAAAATTAAAAGACATACCTAAATTTTTATTTATGCTTTAAAACAAAGATAAGAATACTGAAATAAGAGTAGTATTCCAAATTTAAAAGGTAATTAAAGATTAGATCTCAAATAAGAGTGTCTTCCATTTAGCAGGTGCTTAATAAATATTTGTTTTATTAAATTAAAATCAGATTTAAATATACAGTCTGACCATTGTTAAATGCTATGCTGTAGTCCAAATATATTTTCTCCAGGGCATTTCCCAAATCTAACAGTCTGGCAGTCCTGAAAAAAAGGAAATAAGGTTAGTCTGGCTGACTCGTTCTTAATGAACCCTTGCTAGCTTATAATATACAGCCCTTTCTTTTCTGATTGCTTGAAAACTATCTCTAATGATCCAGTTGAGAATTTTACTGGGAATCAAAATCAAGTTGAAATAGTTGGAAATTCATCAAGTCAGAAATATATACTTTCTTTCCTTTAAAAGAAAAATGGTGGCCATTGCCCAGCACAGTACATAAAAAGCAGCAAGTACTTAAAAAGTGCTTGTTGATTTACCGTGGGAATAGCGACATGAAGCAGTGGATAGAAGGCTGGGCTCAAATGAGAAAGACCTGAGTTTGAGTCTCACTTTATACTTACTAGTGGTGTGACTTTGGTCAGTCATTGAACCACTCAGCTTTCTCAATGTCTGCCTTGTAGGGTGGTTACAAAGCTCAGAGAGATAAACTGTGTAAAATGCTTTACAAGCCTTAAAATACTGTATGAAAACCCATTATCATTCTTTTCCCTCTACCAGTCCTATGGCACCTTTCTCTCTTTTGACCACAATTGCTTAGCAGTCTAGCATTCATACCCCCCAGCATCTTGTAATGTAATTCTTTTAGGCCACATTAAATCATAGTCTTGTTAATGCCAAAAAGAGATTTTTAAGATTATTGGGTCTCTTTTTACTGGAAATAGACCTAGAAAATTTGAGTGACTCAAACCCAGGTCTTTTGACTTAAAGTCCAGTTCTCTTTCCACTATGTCACACTTCATGTCCTTAGGGAAATTTAATCTCTTACCATTACTTATTAATCTCTTATCTTACCCATTTGGAATTCCAATTTCAGATTATCCATTTTTAGTCTATCTTTCATAATCTGAAAATCATTCTCCCTTGTAGAAAAATCAGAAGCAAAGTAGAAATTAAGTCATCCCATATTTTCCATATTCTTTTTCACCCTTGAATTCCTCACTCCCTTGTCTTTCTGCCATTTTTGGCCTGCTAATTCTCAAGCCCTAGTAAGGTACAACATCCTTCAAGTCATAAAACTATGCTGACTGGGTCCACCACAGATTAATGCTTCTAAAGCTCAACTGAAATTTCAAGACTGTACCAGAAGTCCTTTTATTGCCTTCTGATTAATTCTCTAGTTCTGCAGATGTAGCTTCAAAACTTTGTCTCCTCAAGTTCCCAATTCCAGACTCATAATCCTTTCCTTCAGTTGATAAATTTTCACTTCCTACTACAGTGAGATTAGTCCATCTGTGTGAGCTATCTAACTTCTACTACTTCATCTCATCCATTGTCTCTTCCTACACTGCTGTCTCAGAAAATAATGTGGCCAAGGCTAATGTGCCCTCGTTCCCATCCCATTTTGTCTCCTTTGGGACCTTGTGCCATTAATTACACTTGTTCTTTTTCATCTCCGTTTTCTCCCCCTCTGTTGGATCCCTCCCCTCTGCTCTGAAACATATTCAGCTATCATCCAAAGAAAAAGAAACAACTGGCCAAAAAAGTCCAGTTGAGCCCAGCTACCCTCTCAAGCTATTGTCCTGTTATTCACACCCCAAATCATATCTATTTGGTTAATTTTGCCCCCACCCTGAGTTGTCTCTGGGAAATATCTGAATACAGCTCATATCTAGGTCTCCACAGGTGTGGGTAAAAGAGTGCTCTTTTCCTATACAATTAGTCAAGATAATAAAAGCATTTATCAGGTAGTCTATTTGACTTCCCTGTCTGGTGAGTCCCACTTTCCCCCCAGGATCTTCCAGATTCACAACATCACTCTGTGAATTGGCTTCTAAAAGGAAACAAACTTGTGGCTGCCAGGGAGGCAAGCCCCCAACATTTCAGTGAGACCTGCTTTTATCAGAGACCCACACAGGTATGTAACTTTATGGTACTGTCCTAAGAACTTAAACTCCTCTGGAAGAGAAATGCACTTGGAGTGGCAACCCTCTTCCCATAAGCCCTACACCATCAAAATAGCCCTTGTTAATGGTGGAGGGCAAAGCCCAGGTCTTTTGCTGTTTCATGTCATGTCTGAAACTCCAGCTGCGGGATTACATGAATTATCTTTTTCTCCACAAAAAGCTGGCATTGCCTAGGACTGCCTTTTTCTCTCTAGAAAGCTGGATCCTAGAACTCTTGAACTTGGTTAAGGTTGCTGAAGAGGCATCACCCAGCTGGTGCTACCCAGGAACTCTCCTCTGCGATATTCTAGGACTTGATGATATCATCATAATGTTATTCACAAATAGGAATGTCTGAAAAATCTAACCAACTACAGGAAATCCCTCTTTTCATCTTGATTCTTCATTGGACATACTCAGTAACATAGGCTAATACCTCTGGTGAGTCAGTGATCAAAGGATCATTAAACAGAATTATCTGCATTGTTGAGTCAGGAAATCTTACATGATTTTAACATACACATGGGAGATACCTTGTTAATGGAGAGCTTTTAAAGTCTCATTTTGCTGTACTGAATCAAATGCTTTCCTTATAGTCAGTAGACACAGTTAGGTCTTACAGACTTTCTGGTAAAGGGTTGGCCTGCTATAGAATATTGTTTGAAAAAGCCTCCTATTCCCTTCTCCTATCTTCATTAAGTATGCCCTTGCTTTTTGTGTAAATTATTCTCATAGAAAATGTTGTAGAGATAGGAAAGCAAGCATATGAACTAATTGTTATTGGTAATAATAATAGCCATGATTTTCCAAAACCTGTTATCTCTTTATCAATTTCATATGTGCTGAGGCCCCCAAATTGTGTTCCTTTTAGCACAGACCTCCTCATATATACTTGGGCTTGTCCAGCTGCTTTTCCTATGGTCCCTGTTTATTTGTTTTTAATACCACTTATTTTAATATTCCCTGTATGTTGGAGATTGAAATATTAGAGCTCAGATGTGGTAGCTACACTGTCACTGGTGAATAAAACTAATGATTTTGGAAATCTTACAGCTCTTTTCTATTTTTCTCGGTTTGTTATTCGTCTCCCAATTTCAGCTTCTAATGTTCACAAGGTGATCATGCTTAATTTAGAACTCTTGTCAAGCTTTCTCTGAATTGCTTTTCCCCTTCACTGCTTCTCACAGTTTTATGTGGTAATGGTCATAATCTTCTGCCATCCTCTTCAGAAATATTTTACAAATGAATTTATTTTCCAACCAGGGTTGTTCTTAGTCCTCTCTCTTTGCTTGTCAGAGATCAAGTGATAAAACAGTTTCTAAGCCCTTTGCCTTTTCATTTTCTTGATTGATTTGTATCAGTTGACTTCCGTAGAGAATGGTGGTGATCATCTATGTTGGTGTTGAAACTATTTTAATTGTTTGCTCTGTCTTCTCATTTTACTACTCTAATTTGGTATTGATTTTTATATTCACTCTAAAAAAATTAATGATTTGATTATAGAGACACAGCTGATTTCGAAATGACTCCCATAGCAGCAACTAGATATTTCTCCTCTCCTCTTTTAGAATATAGTCAATTGGGGGTTTTTTGCATTAAATTTTTGGTGTTTTTTTTATACCTAGGAACTCCAAACTCTCTCCTTGAAGAAATTACTCATGATATGTAGGTGTGAGGCTTCTATTTAGCTTACAATACTTTGGTTTCTTTTGGTTTTTAATCCTCAGTCTTAATTTCTGAAATTTTTTTTTTACCATTTTCCTCTATGCCTACCTTTGCAATGAAGTCACCAAGTATTGAAGTATACATTAATTGAAATTCTAAAGTCTAATTGAGTACTTTATGGAATTTCATCCTCTGCAATATGTACATGAATACACTGCAATTATCCTTATAGTGGTCTTTTTGCAAATGTTTATCATAAGTACTGCAAATCTAGATGACCATATGTCCCATGAAATGGTGTTCCCTGTTGCTTTGGAATGCACGATGAAATACTCTACCAGAGTCTTTATTTGCCTCTTCAGGAGAGCCTGTGAGCCATTCTTCCATTTAGCCCCAAGTTCTTTTTCTCTTCTGGTTTCCTTTACAGCAAGAATATCAATAGAATAGTGATAGGGACTGGACCTGTAACTTCGTTAGTATAGGGAATTTTTCCAATTCAGGTCAGCCCTTCTCTGCACTTACAGTTTTAGAGCACTAAGAGGTTAGGTGACTTCTCC